GAGGAAGAACTTCCTTCTCCATCAGCCTCTCAGCTCATGTTGATGTCAGACCCTGTGGACACTGACAGCTGTGTTCCAGCAGCTTCTGGTCCATCCAGAGCTGCTTTCTGCTGGTTCCTGGTTGACTCTGGACCCTCCAGCTCACACATATTACAGAAGTGTCTCCATTTTTAATAAAACATAATTCCATGGATGTTTTTATATGTTCATGTGATGATGGAAACACAACCTGACATGTTGAAGGCAGTAATATATTCCCACCCACAGACTGAGCTGCTTCGTTTCTATATGTCACCTGTGAGTCGACCTCTGACCTTTGACATCATCACAGAGAGTCAGGGGTCGACTCGCTTTAACTCCTCCCACTTCACCCCTACTGACCTAATAAGGACACGGTGAGGGGATGTGGGGGGGGCTTGTTATCACACCAGTAAACACACTTACTTGCAGATAGCAGGGAAACACTCCTGCAGCCCTTTCTTCTTCACCAGAGAGCCTTCGATGCAGTACATGATGATGTCCATCACCTGGAGACGGAGGAGACTCTGGTGATGCAGTTACAGGAACACACAACAAAACAACCGCAACACCTGACGTCGTTTGGTTTACCTCCACCAGCAGGTCCACGACATCTCCGGGCATCTTCTCGATCAGGATGTCGATCACTCGCAGGATCTCGGTCTTGGCTCTGGCCAGAGTGGTGGTGTGAACGTTCTGCTGCGACTGAGAGTTGGCCTGAGCCGCGTTGTACCGATGGACCTGGAAACCCAAAGTCTCTGAATGTTAGAAGGATGTGGTGGGCCGGCGGCTTCAGAGAGTGTGTGCGTGTTTTAGCAAAGTTTGAAACAACTTCTGCTCGACCAGCTCTGAATTTAAAACCAAGAAATTTCACTGCAAACCATCACGAGAAAGAGATTCTAATCTAGTCTGGTCAAGTATTTATGGCATAAAATAAGGATATTTATAAAGATATTTGTGGGGTTGTTGACATAACAAGTATTTCATAATAATATTCTATATGTTGAGGTTCGTATTATTGTAACATGAAATATGGTTCAGAACATATCACTGGTTGACTTCTGCTTTATTTGTTCTTTCACCATGATGAGCTCAAAAATGAGACTTTTCATGACACCTTTAATTTCTTTTCCTATTTCAACTCAGTTCAATTGTTTTGAATCAATGACACAAAGAGAAATAAGAGTGAAAGCTCCAGGTTTTAATCTTTAACCGTTCCTGAGATGTTGCTGTTGTTCAAGCAGCCTCAAATTTCTAATTTGTTTTTTAAATCATTTATATTGGAAAGTATCTAGCAGTCGAAAATTCAACAGATTTCATTTTAAATATCCAAAGCTTATGATAAAAAAAAGTCCCAAACTAATCAGAGATGGTCGAACAGAAGATGCCTCGTGATCTGAGATGGAAAAACTTAAATGTAAATGATGAAGACTTTGTTAATCTGCAGTGTGGTTGTTGGTGAAGATATTGAAACGTTTCAGCGTCACCTCTCTTGCGATGGTGGTGATGAAGGCCGGAGGTCGGGCCGTGGCGATCAGGGAGAGGGCGTGACGGGCGGATCGAGCCGAATCTGCAGGCGGGTTGAGCGGCAAACCCATCGTGATGCTGCGGAGGAGGAGGAGGAGAGGATTAAAGAGGCTGCAATCAAAGAAACTCCAAATCCAGATTTACATGTTTTTGAGTTTGAGAGAGAATTCAACAGAGAGAAGAAAAGTTGAAGAGAGAAGGAACGAGAGCATCCGCTGTCTTCAGCCAGACTAAAGTGAAACCATTTATTCATGTTTAGCATTAAACTAGAGCTACTGCTTCAGGGTTGAGGTTTATGTGACTGTTTCTACACAAAGTGGCATCACGTCATTGTTTTATATTATTACAATTATCTGCAGAAATGCCGTCGTATTGAGTGTGAGTTATGGTGAACAGGATTTTAGCCCTAAATTTAAAGAAATTCCCTCCAGTGTTAAAAAGATGGACAACCTGAAAACACGTTGCCATCGGCCCTAAACACAAAACTCACAAGTCTCACAGCAAAGTGGCTCCAACTGAAGTTCACTTTTTCCAAGTTTCATTTTTTTAAAAAGCCTAAGTGATGTCCCAGAGCAGCTGGATGCTGTGAATCTTAGGAAATGTCACTAAAACAGAACTAAAAACAGAAGTTTGAAGACTTTTTTCCCCCTTTGAAAGTCACAAGTGAGTCTTAAATGTCAAGGTGAAGACAAAACCAGATGAAATCAGATCAGATCAGATCAAGACCAAGATGAGATCAGATTCATTAAATCCCACAGCAAAGGAAAACGTGCAAAAAAATGCAGGAACATGAGGAGAAAAATAAACCAAAAAAAAAACAGGGTATACCTAAGTGCTGATTCTCCCATATGTTGATATTCACAAGCTGCAAAGATTCCTCTGGGTGTGGAAAAATAACAATAAAACATCATTGCACAGATATTTCAGGAAGTCGAGACCAATGTCGGCGTTGTGTTATCATGTGATTTAACATTAAGACTGTAATTTACCAGAATGACAACAAAACTGGAAAAAAAAACCTGTTTGTTGTCTTGATGATGTGTGAATCTAAACTGAAAATCGTACTTTCTGACCTCCTAAATTTGACAAACTGCTGCTGCGTTGATTAAAAAGAACATCTGTTGTGGAGGAAATGAAGTTAATCTGCTGCAAACCTTTTTCTAACCTGTTATTATTTAGGAGTCGGTACATTTTTTTGGATTCTGTGGACCTGAAACACTAAATAGTGCATTTATTGGGGAGCAGATTTATACACGTTTGCTGCACAGGTGAGTATCTGCAGCAGAACGTGCATGAAATCAAGTTGTGTTATGAGCAAATAGAGGAACAAGCTGATCTCCTGGTGCGGAGAAATAACAGCTATCCGACTGCTAAAGCTTTTTTAATAGAATATATTCATTGTCGGTTCGTCGTCTTTTCACCAGATTTGCAGACAAAGAGGGAAAAACACACAACATTAGCGGGCTTATCCTTGAAAGAGAGAGGTTTTTCTAATAAGAAGAAAACCTTAGCGAGACATTTAAATGGAGCTCTTGAGGGAGAGGCGAAGAAAACGAGATAAATCTGAGGAAAAGCTGCGGAGAGATTGAGTCTTACTAATATATGGAGTGAAGAGATTAGCGAGCAGCTTATAATGTCAAGGCCGAGTCAATGGGAGCCATTCACCAGACGACGGCATAATGGACTCCCACAATGCAACAGGAATTAGACACACACACACCCCAACAGCTGGCCGCACACGCCTCGCACACAGTGTGTGTGTGTGTGTGTGTGTGTGTGAGACGGAGAGAGAGGGAGGGAGGGAGAACGAGGGCGAGCGAGGCCACCTTGTTAACAAATGACTCTGGGGAGGCCGAGGGAGGCGGCGACGGGCGGCCGAGCTGCACGATTCATCTCCTGTGATTACGCGCCGCCGCCGCAGATACGGTAATTAATGCCGGTAATATATCGGCAATATATCAGCAATATTGGAATGTTTAATTTCGCTCGGCGAGGCGGCCGTAATTGGAAACAGTCACGGCGTTGATATAAGGCGGCGGCAGAGCAGGGAGCTAATTGTGCCGAGGCCCGCCGAGGTTAATAACCGGCGTTTAGAGCATGTAATGAAATAATCTGGATTATAGTCGGAGCGGCTGAGGAGCAGAGCGGCACATTAAACTGATCAACATCTCCTACAGGCCTGAACAGGAAGAAGGTTCAGACAGTGACAGAGAATCCACAGAAATCCAGACAGAACCGGAGCTGAAAGCTCGTCATTTTCTAGCAGATGAGGACAAATCTGTGTGAAAATGACCGAATTACGAGTTCAGATTCGGCCGTCGTGAATTTTTTCTCCTGCTTGTGGACACATTAAACGAATTATTATCTCCAACAGGCCCGAGCAGGAAGGTTCAGACAGTGTATTACAGATAAATGTTGTTCAGTGTGACCAAGAATCCACAGAAATACAGACAAAAACTAAACTAAAATCTCGTCATTCGCTAAAAAATAAACAGAAATCTGTATGAAAACGACAGCACTGAATGGATTATGAGTTCTGACTCAGCCGTCATGAACTTTCACTGCTGTATGTGGATATAATGAACTATTAAATATCTCCCACAGGCCTGAGCAGGAAGATTCAGACACTATGTTGGAGATTTATTAAGAATCTGTTGAGTTTGACCAACAATCCAGACAAAACCAGAACTAAAAACTCTTCATTTCCTACAAAATCAGGATAAATTAGCATTAAAGTGGCTGTTCTGGCTGGATTACGGGTTCAGTTTCAGCTGCAGGTGGAACCAACGAGAGGCGGCTGTAATTGGAAACAGTCAAAACGTTGATAAAAGGCAGCAGCAGAGCAAAGAGCTAATTGTGCCGCCGAGGTTAATAACCAGCGTTTAGAAGATGTCATGGAACACATTAAACTCTGAAAAACCTTCTACAGACCCGAGCAGGAAGATTCAGACGACGTGTTTTAGTTGTTTTTGATGAAAGCTCCAGACAAAGCTGAAACTCTCGTCCCTCTATTGGAGGTTACAACACGTGTGCATGTCCTGAACGGATTGTGGGTCCAGATTCAGCCGCGGTGAACTTTCAGCGCCGACAACCAGCGAGCGGCGGCTTCAGTGTGTGTCTGTGTGAACCTGGCAACATGACTGCATTCACAGCCAATATCACGCTGACATTATCCAGTCAATACTGAGTCACACACAGCGAGGACTGGAGGTATTGATTTTGGTGTGCGAGGGAGGAGTGAATAACCTCGGTCACATGATGAGAGTCCCTGCTGCAGGAAACCAGCGCTGTGTGCACGGCTGGCTGCCTGTTCAGCGACCAGCCGGCCTGATGATTGGTTTTTCTCGGCGAGCTGAAGACGTGGAAACTGGAAGATTTGCTGACGGGCCGGCAGTTTGACTGTTTACTGACTGGTTTTCTCCATTTA